GTAATTAGTCCCGAAAGTGTCCAAAATGGCGCTGGTGCTCTGATGAACTATGTACCTAATCCAGTTACAAATGCACAGCAGCGCAGTATCTGATTACCGTGCGCTTATCTGCCTCTGCCTCTGGTGTTGTACAACACACAACTGCGCTTACGTTTGAAGGGGTACTACAGTTTGTTCGAAAATATTATTTTTGAATCGGTGTGACGTAGGATTGCCCCTGATTTACGCAACAACGCTTCTAGGTTATGTAGAGTCGAATGGAAAGGTGATTATGAATGATGATATCGGAAGGAAGTTGCAGTGCCGTCACCAGCCGTTTGAGACGAATATGGTTCTCGAAACGTTGGTGTTCTATCCTTTAAACCACCTTACACGGCTGTTAGCCCGAGAAGAACTCATTTTATAAGTACAGGACAGTGTTTAATCGCCTGGAGGGACTGAGGAAGAATTAGAAAAAGTCAGTCATTCTAGCTGACCATCGGAATGGTAATCGAATCCGGCTTCCACCGGTGACAACGAATCGCGGCGTTCTGATATTACCAGCTTCTTTGTCTCTACTTATTTTAATTACTGTTTGTCAATTGCAGAAGTTACTTGTCGTGGTTTCGTACTTCTTACTGCTGTACGTCTTTTGTGATTTGTCTGCAAAGTCCAAGGAAAACGACGCTCAGCGTCAGGAATGTCTGTCGGTGACCGGATCCGGATTCTGCCACGGCGTTCCCAGAATGCAGTGCGCCGAGTCTCAAACGAGAAGCGACGAAAGTGACGGCTCTTGGTCCACACGAGTAACATCGGGCACTGCGCTCCTTTCCTTATTTCTTCCTTTATCGGTGGTTCTTCTTTGCTCCTGGTCCTCTGGCGCCTCTCTTCTTGTTTTTGCATCCGCTCTGTCAGTCTGACGCGTCCAGCCGACTTCAGAACCCGCATTCATTATTTCACCTCGTGTAATTTCACGTCTGAAATTGTGAACGCCGTGAATAGGTTCACAGTCTGTTCCCTGCTTTCGGTTTTGTTGAAGTGATGACGTCATGTAGAGTGAGAAACACAGAAACGTCGGATGAAACAGGGAGGTGATAATTGCCTACGGAATGTTAGTCGGGGAAACTTCAGATGAAGAAAACGTTTCTTAGACCCGGACACAAAAGAGGGATAATATTAAAAGGTCTCTTTAAATATAAGAGTGCGGATTGGATCAATATGGCTCAGGGTAGGGACCGGTGGCTGGTCCTTCTGAATAAATTATTTGACTCTTGGATTGCATAAAAGATGAGTAACCTTTCGACCAGCTGAGCAACTTTTTTCCGAGGAGGAGATTTCAGGGGGAAACAACTCGCGGACACCACCGCGCCGTTATCATCTTATTTTATGGACTTGGTGGAAATAAAACACAAATTTGACTGAAATCCTTCGTACAGACCGAACTGAACCTGTAGAGCAAGAGTAGTAGATAAGCTGGTAGTCGCTGAGCTGGTGAATAAATTCCCCGTTTTTTGTGGGTGCCGAAGATGCATCTCTGTGGTGACGACTGCACGTCACTCACCCGTGTCGTACGCCATTAAATCATCACGTCCTGTTTCTATAATACTGTCCTCCCATCTACTTCTAGTTCTTCCAAGAGATGTCTTTCCTTCCGGCTTTCCGATCAGCATCTTATATCTCGTGCGTGCTACATTCCGCGCACATCTCATCGCCCTTAATTGTCCTCATGATATTTCGCGAACAACGTCGTCATGTCGAGTTTCTTGACGATTCGATAAATCGTTCGTTTGCATCGACATGATAACACAGTCAGTGCTTGTAACATGGGTACAATGCTGTTTACACAGGGAACATACATAATTCAAGGTCTTTCTTCTGACAAGAGGACTGATTTATTTATAAGGGTTTTAATGGCGGAAAGACATCGCCGTGCGTTCTGTGACCGGAGTTCCTGCCCCTGTCGAAGTTCTGGCTGGCCTTTGCACCGACCGACCGACCGGCAGGGGCTGTTCATTTCGCGTGAATTGCAGTTTATCCCTCCGTCTCCAGGAAACGTTTCTTTGATGGATTTTCATGAATAATTCATTCGATGGGCTTTTATTTACTCACGCCTCGTTTTTCCACATCGTTGACTGACTTCTGTTATCGCTTGTCTTCTGCCTTTCTTTCCGTCTGTGAGTTCGCTCATGCTTCCTTCATCACACCCGATTTCTGTAGCTTCCTTTTTTAATATTGTCACATCCGAATCTCGATCTCTCGAGTGACATTTTCCGCTGTTATTTTCTACGAATTAATTTTCCCCGTTTGCTCTGTACGTCCCACACGTTTTTCACTCCTTGATTTCGTCTCTCCACGTACGAACACGTGTTGCATTGCATCTGTCGTTACATCCGTCTGTCTCTCGGATCAAAATATTGCCCTTGGAACTTTATTTTTAATCGGTTACTTTACTTATTTGTGAATTTTTGCATCGGCCAAGTGTTTTGACGTTTTGACCGTGATGTTGAAGTCCAGATCAAATACGACGATTGTCTGTGAAGTCTTCGAAAGAGTTTAGTCGCCGCAAAAGTTACAGGTCGCAGAGCGCTGCTGACGGAAAGTCTATTCGAACACAACGCATCGTCAGTTCTGGCCTCGGGTAACTGCACAGATGCTCCTTTGTTCCTGATTGCCAGAGAATCTGTGACTCTGCTGTCTGAGATTTCGCATTCTGCAGCCCTGGCCGATGTAAGAATGACATTTTTTTTTAGTTGCAGAGGCTCAGATGATGACGCGTTGCACTGAGACCCACTGCAGGCGCACTCTGCACTCGATGCAGTGCGCTCAGCTGGCCACTACCCTCGCGGCTAGATTACCGTGGTCATTGGGCCTTGCCCCGATCCAGATAAATCTTTCGCCTTATTTATGTGAGATTCGTTTTAGTATTATCGTGAAACGTGGGTAAACTTGCACCAGACTGTACGGCGTTACAACCGAATAGACCGAAATCTTCGTAATAGCCGCAATGAGAGCCAGAAATATCGCATTTGATTGGTTGTTCGTAGAAATCACATTACAGATAGTGAATAATGCATGAGACGGCCATTTTGACTGGCAGAGTTCATGAATTCTCTTTCAGTAATTCTTTCACTCCGATCCATTCGACCTTGCGCTTTTCAATCACACGAGTGTCCGGACTCCTCTCTCTTCTACGCGTGTTATCTCGCACTGGATGTCTCTAATGCCTCGTTGAAGAACATTGCTGATGCTTTGTGTGAACTCCGTTCCTCATCTTTAGTCATGACTAGTTCGCCTCTTACGTGACTGCGCCTTTCTGTTCTTAATTGTTTGCGTGGTTTGTGTGGTCCCCATCCGTTTGTCCAGTTTTTGATTGCACTGCGTTTTTAAGCAGGAGAGAAACAGCTGTTTAACCACGATCCTGATAAAGCTAAGAATTTCGTCTTTTCATATCATGGACACGCCGTCACTCCACAAGAAAAGTGAGTATACGTCTTTGGAAACAAAGGGAAATGTGGTACTGTGTTTTGTAGCTTTGTGGTGAAGGTATTAGGGAATGGCTGCCACTGGCAAATGTTAAAATAAATAGCTGGAACATCCTCATTGACTGTCTGAAAACCGAATCCAGAATATGAACGGCAAAATGTTTCGAGGAATAATTTTAATCCATTTCATCCGAAGGCACCAGGAACTTAAGTGATGAAGTCGTGATGATCCACTTCCCACTAATTTATTTTATATGTAATTGTAAAAATTTATCTCTGCACCACGCCTTTTGATGCAACACATTCTGCTTCATCAGTCTCACTGTTCTTTGTATCAGTGGCGGCTCGTCATCCCACTAGTCGTCACTGCACATTAAATGTTTACGGGTTTGCGCCAGTTGTCAAATGTAACAGTTCTTTATCGATGTTGGTCGTGTGGGTTTAGCATCGCGTGGATTTGTAGGTACATGTCCGCTTCTCGGAGGATCATACTGCCTCCATCTTCGTACTGGAGAGGACTATAAAAAAATTATATTTATGGCGAAGGCGGTTTCACAGTTCCGATCTGATTTCGTT